TAATACCGTGTCATTTTTGGAAAAATCCTTTCAGTATATTCTCAAGAATAATCAAATTCGATGAAATCATCATCACTCTGGTTGATATATAACTTGATACGATCAACACTAAATATCAATCACAATATTAATATGGAAGGATGGATTCCGAAGTAAAAAATCAAAAATACTTAATGCTGAACAGATCAGATCAATCATTTTTTGTAGAATGCTCCTGTTGAAGGTAATTTTTCAAATAACATACATACCCAACATTGAATTGATAAATTCCTTTTTCTTTAAATAAGAGGAATAATTAAAAAAGATCAACCTTCGAAATTATATTTAAAAAATATCTACTAATACGAAGAAATGGTGATAGCTCAGTTGTTGGAAGCGCTGGCTCCGAACCCAAAGGTCGGTGGTTCATAACGCAGTTGGAGAACTTTTTTTTCATTATTTTTAATAACGATTACAGAATCTCTGGTGCTGCTTTGTTACAAATAAATAACCATTATGAATGTTAATTTTATATTTTTATACAATGTATTTTTTGCTACCTATTAATAAAGCTGTTTAAATATGGAAAACGGCTCCATTTCAGTTCGAATTGAGGAAAATGTCTCGGTATGCAATGTATCAATAAGCAAACACAAGAATTGTAATTTGTAACTCTTCATGCAGCTGGCTTAGTGACGGGAGATGTTTCATATTGGTAGTCGTTATTTGTGCCTTGATACAATATCTGCACTATCCGGAAAAAATATAGTGTAGTCGTAGAAAAAGTATAGTACAATTCTCGAGTTGTAAAGCAATTACGCACTTGTGGAGTTACACACTCGCCGCTATGCGGCATCGTGTGTAACTCTCTCCACTTCGTGCGTAATATGCGTTTTACAACTCTTGTTATGTAATATACTATTACACACCGAAATTGGAATTTCAGTCCCAGAAAAATCTGTAACCCCGCATACGTTTTGGATAATACGAAGTTATGAATATCAATTAAAAGTTAGACATAGGTACCCCCACAAGCAATCTGAGTATAAACCAAATTTCATTATCGAATCAATCATGTTAGGGAAAGTTGTTTTCAATCAAACAATAGAGAAATATGAGAGCACACAAACATTGGAAGCAGTTCGTGCATCAAATAACTCCTTTTTTTGTTTTGGTCAGCATAAAGTTGGTTTGTTGATCGGTGATGGGAAAGAGAAAGAAAGAAAAGGGTGTAATGTAGCTACAATTCCAACTATACAGGGTGTCCCGTGATTCGATGGCCATAGCTCAAGGGCATATTCCGTGAACAATTTCAAGTCGCAAGTGCCTTATACACTTTTGTCTCAAACTCAATAGTTGAGGAGTTATGAGCAATTGAATGACAACTTTGCTAACCAGTATACAGGGTGTTTAATAATATATGCGCAGGACTTCAGCATGTGATAGCTCGTCCAAAAATATGAAAAAAGTTTTTATCAACTGTTAATGAAGTGTTTTTGAACCAGCTGGACTGGTTTGAGACTGATTCTAGTTGAATTTCACTTGTTCGAGAAATCGAAACCTGAAAACCTGAGAGAGCTGAGTAATTCATTGATTCCTGACTTTCCAAAGCTTCTTCTGATAGTAAACTCCGATAAACATCATTACAACTCTGAAGACTTCGATATTTTTCAACCCTTTGCCTATGATATGAAATTTTGGATGAATTATTTATCAGTTCAAATGATCGATGTTTACCTGGCCATAACTTTTTTGTTATTGGATATTTTCCAGTCAAATTCATTCAGTAGCATTAGCAAATGTAGTAGATTCTGTTCCTGTGCCCATTCAGGGTTAGATATTATTTTTCCGCATTTTTGTGAGTTTAAGAACATGTGCTTTTGGATGCTAGTTCCTGCAGATATAGTTGAGGATTCCGACCAATGAAAATCTAGGATTGAGCTGTCCTTGTACCGGGGTTGATGGAAAGTATAAATACAGGAGACAGCTAATGGATCGCTCTCTACAACGCTCTGCTCTACTAGTCTTTATCATCTACGCTAGACACTCTACTCTTCACCTGTGTCTCCCCTGGTTCTCTTACTGATCTCCTAGTGCTCTCATATTCCATTCAAAGCCAGTGTAAGGTATCAATGTATATTGATTTCGTGTTGCACATGTAAGTTTGTATAATATTTTTCACCATTATTATTCATCCTGCAGATAGATTCATTTCATTCCTGTTAACCCTGTTATTTTTCATACCGGCACTCACCCGACCTGTGTAACAAATCCAGAATTTTGTATTTGCGATTAAACGATATTTTGTGATCGCATATTTTATATTTCTTTCTCTGTTGTCATTGTTATCAGTTCCGAATAATAGTTCCAATAATTTATTTAATGATTTTCAATATTTTCGTTTGTCAAATTACTGATTATTATTGACGGACGACTGACACTGACATAGTCAGTTGTCAATTCTTCTTCTCCTCCTTTTCCTTGAGTAATCCTGTCCTGTGCACCCGTGTCCCTGTGCTTGGTATCCTGTCAGGCTGTGGCCGGTGGTTAATGCAATTTTGACATGGATAGAAAAATATAATCAACCTCACAAAAATTCCGATTTTGAAAACTTAAGAACTCGAAAGGAAAGGAGAAGGAAAGATAAATATGAATTGAATCTGTTTAAGTTGTTTGAAACTGTGTTTCCCATTTTCCAGGGAGACTTAATGAAACAGTTTGAATAAATCATATTCCAGACCTAACCTGAAAATACCAGAGACCCGTTTTCGACAAAGATATTCGCTTTGATTCCTGTAATTATCCAGAATAAAAATAGCAACCAGTATTCCAGGCTGAACCCAGAGTTTGTAATCATAGCCTACACTCCCTCCTCCTTATATTGATTCCAGGTCGATTCAATAACATTGATCCCTGGTTTATACTGTAGGTACCGAGTTAGGTATACCTCCTGTACCTGTCTCCACTGTTGCTACTTTAGGCCCCTGTACAAAAATAGCTTTGTGCAGATCAGGTGGAGTAAACTACCTCATATAACCAATCTGGCGCCCGAGACCCCCCGACGAGTACTAGAGTAGTCTTTGTCGAACAAGCGCCAAAGTAAGGGCCCCATTTGAAGGCCATTACAAACTTGCCCTCTGAAATACATCATTTTCGAGATACAGGGTGTTGGAGTTTGATAAAAAATAAATCGTTTTTTGCGAATATCTCTGGAACAGTTTTTCAGAGAAAACAGCACTCGTAAGCTTTGCTTTCTGCGGAATTTATTTATTTTTGAGACATAATTGATGAAGATTCTGTAGGGGTAGTTAGTGTTTTTCTCCCCAACTTCTACCCCACTGGAAAAAGTTGTCGGCCAGTTGAAGACAGTTTTCATGATCAATAGTCATTAATAAAGTACAATGAGTAGCTGGTGAGCACTTCTGATTTCAGTAGTTGATGCACCTAGTTTTTCTCGATCTGTCAGACGGAGGATTTTGATGTTGAATTGAAGACAAAAATGTTGTGTGAAGAAATATGTTGAATGCGCTCTTTTCACTGGTTGTTAGCCATATTTCACCTGTTACAGGCCGGTATTGTACTCCTCATTGGCCGATATTTATTCGCCTCAATATCAGGTCCTGGACACTTATTAACATCATGATAAAGAAGGCATTACATAAAAAAAAAACTTTGACATAAACTTCTTTAAAAGACAAAATAGTTATAACTGATATATAAAAATATAAAATATACCTACACTAATATTGTTGATGAAATATAACATTTTTACAACCTCTTCTTCTCTTTCCTTAATATTTGCAAATTTTTTTTCTCTTCTGCTTTTACAAGAATCGCAATCCATTTGTAGGACACTTCACCTCGCACTTCACTAAGGAATTTTACATTCGTGATCGCCTTACCAAATTATGGAGATCTTTAAGATAAGTTTTCATCAACATTTTATATGTCATACCTCGTATATATCCCGATCCTATACTTTTTTCAAGTTATCAAGTATTGAATCGGAACAGTCGCAAGATCAACAGACTGTGAATGTAAGTGTATGGATTCACGCCAGGTACCCTTAAGAGGGAAGTGTATCAACTTTGGCGTTCGTAATGCCTCTCTGCAAAGGAGGGTGTCGCCTATAAGAGTTAGGTATGAACAGTGGTTTTATATCAGTTCTTTCCCAAATTCATAATGAACTATTAAATATAAATATAGTTGTAACGAATTGCAGAATTATTGTAGATAAGGCCTACTGGAGAAACAGCTATGAAAAAACGCATCAATAACTCTACCGCATAAGTAATGTGAAAATGAGTAACTTCTTACATATTGGTAATATTTACTATCACTTCACTATCAAATACTCATTCCACCTCTTGAATATTCAAACAGTGCATATTCAAATACTAAACAAGAAGATTCAGAAACTCCAGGAATATTCGAATAGTTTGGAAATATTGAATGATTCGGAAGTATTTAAATACTTGAAAATATCCAAAAATTGTTTGGAACATCCCAAAACTATTTTAGTTTCAATCTTTTCAAGCCACTCAGGTAATATAGTTACTTGATAATCGAATACTTTTTTCAGACTATTTGCCCCAGTTTTGTGTGGGTAACATAACAGTTTTTTGAAGGTAAAACATAATCTATGACAAGTAAAAATGTTCATGATAAACTACTGTTTCGATGAAGTTTGATTCTGGCGGTTCGTTCTCAAGAAATAGGACGATTTTCATTCTAATATGCTGAATTATTGGTTCTATAAGTATAGTTTCTATAAAATGCCATTATGATTGAATACATTTTGATAAAATACGGTTCTCAACGAAAGATATGTACCCCATGTCGATCAGCTGCATCATTTCGAGTAGATTGATAATAATGATAAAATCATCTCTTTTTCGAATCAAATACATTTTGATGTGAAAAGGAACACACAAGTACGTACTAAGTAAACAATACCAAGCACCATGCAAAAAATGAAGAAAATCAAAATGTCATTCACAAAAAACAACTACAGGTGAGTTCTAATAAAGTACGTACGATCTCTCCAAAATGTTTTCTGTTTCCTTGTATCTGAAAAGAGATCACAAAAAAGTATGAAAAACGTACGATTCTTTCTGTGATTATGTAGAAGTTTCCAAGTGAGTACAAGGGCAATAATACTGTGTGTATCAAAACATGTGAACCAGGCAATACATCCCCTAATATTCAGTTTTGCGGTGTGAATTATACATATTCAATGTTGCCAGAAGTTTCGACATAATCGTGAAAAATGCATAAAAAAATATTTTTCTCAATACCTTGTATCTTGAAATTGGATGCCGTTACGATATTTATTTACTGAGCAAACCCAACTGAAATTGCAGTGTTCAACCTACCCTGCAAGAGGTCACCATTTTTTGAAACATACTGTATATGATCTCACAAAGTGACGTAGCTCAATACTCATTGGTTTTCGTCAGTTTTCGTGTAATTGAATATCGAATACTCAGCTATCTCAAATTATTGGACTACCAAATCTGACAAAGTGACCTAACTATGGGAGTTACGTCAAAACGCTATATGAAGAGTTGGAAAGCGACCCCATCATGGGGATGCCAACGGATGGCATAATTCCAAAATATAGCTTTGAAAAAACTTTTGAAATGAGTATAACGGACAGAGAGGCATGGAAGGAAGGACCTCCTATCAATGCAGACATTGCTGTCTATACGGACGGCTCCAAAACTGATGAAGGATCTGGAGCTGGTATTTATGGGGCCAAGCCAAAGACAAGAATCTCACTGAGCTTAGGCAAATACGCGACGGTTTTTCAGGCAGAAATTATTGCAATACATCATTGCGTGAAAGAATTGATAAGGCAAGAGTTCAAAGGCAAAACCATTGCAATCTATTCAGATAGCCAGGCGGCAATCAAAGCAGTCAACTCTATGCAAGTTAACTCAAAACTAGTATGGGACTGCTTAAAAACCCTAAATGCACTGGGTAGTCAGAACAGATTGACTCTAACATGGGTACCAGCACATACAGGGTACGAGGGCAATGAAGAGGCAGACTCACTTGCCCGAGCAGGAGCAAACAAAGCTCTTAATGGTCCAGAACCCTTCTGTGGTATTGCGAAAGCTATACAAAAGACTAGTATCAAATCATGGATGCAAACCAAATCTCAAGAATGGTGGAACAACTCGCCAGGAATGAGACAGGCTAAAGAGTTTATTAAAAAACCATCGCCAACATTCACAGAATATCTACTAAGCCAGAAACGAAGTTCAACTAGAATACTAGTGGGACTTCTCACAGGGCATTGTAGGCTCAACAAACACATGAGTGCAATAGGTCTGACTGAAGAACTGCTGTGCAGGTTCTGTCAGGAAAAAGAGGAAACAGCAGTACACATACTTTGCCACTGTGAGGGCTTGTCAAGACTAAGGTTCCTTCGCTGGGTGAGGAAAAACCAGGAGCCCAGAGATACACAGGAGATCTGAAAGCTGGCCTATGGAGTCTCATAGAGAAGGCGGGGCTAGCCGAAGAACTCTAATCGATTTTGAGGGCAGACACAATAGATCTGAAAAGGTCGCAGTGTGGAGGCAGATAGCCCGAAGGCCCCCATTTCAAATCTAATCTAATCTACGTCAAAACGTGAGATATATTTTTATTATTTGTTAAAAATTTCAACAATGACGTATTCCATAATCCGGTTTGCCGCGGAAATTAAAATATCTCGGGTGACGTCTCAAGGTATTGAGAAGGGTAAGGTAAGGTACATGTCGAATCAATTTCTGTGTTGTTCATCAATATAAATGGATATTCGGATCGGATATTCATTTGAATTCACGTTATATTCATGGCGTATGTATCTAAGGCTACATTGAAAAATATGATATCACGTAAGGACGTATGTTACAAACATATTTTTTTCTCAGTTTTTAGCAATGGTTTTTCGAAATCTCATCATATCATAACAACTAGCTGTAATTCTTCCGCTATTGAATAAAAAAAACGGATGGTCTTTCATGAAAAAAACTCTGAGTTATGAGCGAATTGAGATGTTGAAAATCATTAAATTGCACTCCTGTGAAGTTGAGAAAACTGCGATACGTCATATAAGGAGGCTACACCTCCGTCGACTCTGGGGGGCCGCCACTGGTCTGCAGGTGGTTAGAAGGTACCGGACTTCAATTCGTGCATAATTAGGCATCCAGGAAAGAAACTATCGCAATTAATATCCGTTTGTACGAATCTTTGCATCAATGTTATTCAATTTTCAGGTTTCATGGTATAGCAAGCGCTTGTTGTCGACCATAATGTCATTGAACTCATCTCAAGTCCTGTGGAAATAACTTTTTTTTTTCTTTTCCTAATAGGATTCCGTCTGCACATACCTCTCGAATCGATAATTTGTGCATTCTCCTATAGAATTCTCAAAAACATTTCCACCTCCCCCGTATCACTTAACCCAATTTCAAATTATTGATTACTTAGCGTACGGTTTGTTTCTCGGATAAAATAGATATCTGCATAGAGGAATACACATTTCCAACCAAGTTGTTGGGATTTCGCCGCTAGATGGGAGCAGTCGCTTAGTTTTTTACAATGTGGGGTATAGGTGGAAAATATGTCAAATATTCTAGGTTCAACTTGTTAATTCTAGAGAATTTTCATTGGATAGAAAGGAATCCAATTAACCCTTTCTTCATGAGTCATCCTCCCCTCATGAGAGATAGACTCTCCATAATTCATGGAAACTACAGGCGTCATGAAAATACAGGTTGACTTGAGGAAAATTTCATTCATTTTTCCTCAACCGTTTACATATAAGACCATTTACATATCAACATATAAATCATATGTTTGAATTGTGTGTTGAACATATAACTATGGCTTGTTTGAATATCTCAATATTTTCCAAAACACACCTTGAAATCACATAATTATGATGTCGGAATATCTTTCGAATGGAACACTGACAATCATTTCAGTGACATTTACTGCCACATTTAATGGATACATGCCAACATTTTATGACATTTTTTATTTCTTGTAAACTGAGCATTCTCTCATCATTTCAACTAATTTTTCTTTTGAATTCGACTTATCACTGTATTCAGGGAAAAAATCGGTTAGAAAAATAATTCAAAAATATATGGTTCCGTTCGAAAAACAAAAAGTTTCCAGTTACTGACGTTACAATTGAATTTCGAAAGGATGATGAAAGCCAACTCATATGTATCTGATGGGTAATTTCTTTCGTTTTTTTTTTTTTTCGAAATCGGACAATTGATAGCTGCCCTAGCCTGGGGCTATTTTAGTCAGTCTGTATACAGTGTGATCCACTTGAACGGGAACAGTTCAATGAAATTTGTAAAAATTCACTGATTCCGACAGGCTTTTTTTGAATTTTAAAGCTTGTAAAACTGTTTTTTAGGACGAAATAGATTCTAATTTCTTCTAAAAGCAATGTCTACTCAGGCTTACTGCTTATATTTCCAGAGCTTAAAATTCGAGGAATTATATTAGCGATATTCTTTGAAAAATTCGAGATAAAATTGATAAAACCAAATTACGCTGAAGCTTGGTTTCACTCTTTGCGGTCTGGATCTGGACTTTTTGCTCCACAATACCCCCAAAGAAATATTAAACTATACACCTCGGGTGAGAAGTGAAGTGATAGCAATCACCTTTATATCCACTACTAACACTGAAAAATCAACATCTTCTATGAATTCATCGAAAGAGCAATGCCATTCAACCTATTCAGCATTGTTCAGCATATCACTTCAAAATTTTGATATATCGACTATAGCCTAGGAGTTCAGGCAAACAAACTAAGAGAAAATTGGACTCGGCTGCCAGAAAATAAACGCTGTATTGAAATTCCAGGTGGAAGGTGGAATTGAGAATAACTACAAAACCGAGCAACAAAATATCGCAAGTAGATATAAAAAATACAGTATTTGTTAGCATCTAGCAACTAGATGCGCTACTGCTCAGTGGAATATGCTTACATCAGAGCCTATGACAGACGTGTTTAAAGACTGGCTCATATAGTGTTCGGCAGGCAGCCGAGTTAAGAGCAAGTGTAACCCTTGTCCATGTCATTTGTGCTCGTGCTCATTGAATTATGATCATAATATAACAGTTTACATTAAAATGTTTTTGAAATATTTGAACCTTATGAATATCGCACATGATACCATTGAAGTGATATGATTGGTCAAAAAATGTCTCCATACCGAAAGTCATGGTTATTCAGATCCTTGGTCTAATTCACACATGACAGTGACAGCTCACTTATGATTTGTTTTGTGTTATGTGGTGACATTCCCAGAATTAATAATGATATAAAGGAAAGGTTTTCATACCTTTGTTTTCATGTAGTTAGTTATACAAGTGAACTTCTTATAGGTAAGTTTATAATCACCTATTTTCCAAAATGTTCAATACGTTCAACACTTCGAAGACATTGTAGTGGAAAAACAATAAAGGATTCACTGCCATTTTCAACCTTTCCATGAGTTAGCAACCACAAAATTGATATTGTCGCGATAGCAGGAAAACTAACAAGATGTCAGCGAAATTGATAGATCATATTGCCCAAAATCGATGATCAGAATTCCACTTTTTCCATACCATAGTGCTATATTTGCAAACATAATCGATCCGAATGTCTGTAGATGGTTGAAAGAGATGAAAGCATATGATATTTCATCTCATTCACTATCAACGAGCGCTTCTCTTCATGTGAAATATTTGAGAATATCTTATGAATTATTCAAAATTCCCGCTATTCGAACTGGTTGAGCTACCAAACACCAGAGAAGCTAGCGAATACGTTGGGCATCTAGACAGAGTACCGTTAAACGGGGCTACTTTGTACAGGTTTTGAGGTATATTTCATCTTTGGCGCTGTATTCATAATCGAATCGACTGGAAAAAATAACAAGGGTAGTAGTATATTACATAATATGTGTTGTAAGAAGCAAATTACGCACGAATGGAAAAGTAATTCCATGACTGTACCCCACCCTGTACATACAGTAAAGTGAGTAAATCAAATAGAGTGACAACAATAGACCTCTAAATGGCTGCCGTTTCCGGAATATCAGTCGTGGTCAAGTCACTGAATAGCTGAAAATCTGAAGGGTATCTCCCATGTAGTAATGAATTTGCGACTTCGAAGTGCCCACCTGATGTTAGATCAAGACATTTGTTCATTTCATCATCTGAATAATCTGAGACTTACGCGTCCTAACAGACCTATTGTAATATTTAAGGTACTGACGTATAGAGTTTCATTTCTCATTATTGGATGTTTTGTGCCAAAGAGCAAAAAACAGAGACAAAGCATTGACAACGTGAAATAGAATGGAGAAAACAAGACAGGTCGATGCACCTCCATATTAGAGGTCTGATCAATCAAAAAATTGTCACTCTATTTATAAAGTCACTCCACTGTACACAACATTAGAGCCTAGCCATAGCACCACTATACGGGAAATATTGCCACGCCACCACATGGGAGTGAAGTTAGCCACATCCACAAAATACACCGAGAAAAATTTATCGCCGAAAATGTGTTCAACAATTTCACCCGATTTCAGATGTAAATTGAACGCATTTCATAGAACGACTGAAGAGGGGTGAGAGCCTGAGTCAAATTTGATAGGGAGGTGGTGAATCGATAGTTTCAAGTCGTCTAAGGGGGAAGACAAGGGGTTGAAAACGAAAATAACTCATTATCTCAGTTAATACTCGTTTTACATGGATTTCGAAGGCGGCAAACGAATCTACAAATCAAATTTGATAGGAAGGTAATGAACTCATAGTTCGTCAGGCCGTCTAAGGGGGTTGAAAAGGGGTTGTAAAACAAAAAAAAAACATTATCTCCGCTTATACTCGTTCTATATGGATGTTGAAGGCGGCAAACGAATCTATTAATCGAATTTGATAGGAATGTGTTGAACTCATAGTTTGTCAGGTTGTCTGAGGGGGTAGAAAAGGGGTTGAGGAACAAAAAAAAAATCATTAAAAGGAGGAAGGCAAGCTCAAAGTCATCTCCACAACTTTTATAATGATTTAGTTATTCAACGGGACATGTTTCGAACTTTTGACACGTTTGAATTATGTCAAGTAGTTGCTAGATACCTGTCGTGTTTGAAGTGTTTACGAATTGTTGACTTTAAAATTTATCATTATGGTCTATTCAATTGCAGACAGAGTGGAAATCATTGAGCTTTTTTTAAAAAACGATTTATGTGGAAATCGGGTCGCAGAGTTGTTTAACCAACGGCATCCTGACAAACATGCCTCTGGAAAAATTGTTCGCGAATTGGTGAAAAAATTTTGCGAAACAGGTTCAGTTCATAACAAAAAGAGAGAGCTTGAAAACCCAGTAATAAATGAACCTACGGAGATAGCAGTATTGGGGCAAGTTGCAGTTGATAGTACGCTAAGTACAAGACAATTGGCCATTGCGACGGGCGTGTCTCGTACCAGTGTCCAACGGGTATTGAAAAAATACAAATTCTATCCTTACAAAATTCGCTTAGTGCACGTACTGAATGAAGATGACTTTGATCGTCGCTTGCAATTTTGCGAAATTATGAGTGAGCGAGCGTTACACAATGGTAATTTTCTATTCAATGTGTGTTTTTCGGACGAGTGTTCCTTCTTCCTCAATGGTTCAGTGAATCGCCAGAATTGCCGGTACTGGGCTGACACCAATCCAAGGATTTTCCACGAGACACACATGCAACACCCCCAGAAGTTGAATGTGTGGGCTGGTATTTTGGGAAATTCCATTGTAGGACCTTTTTTCCTTCCTGGAAATTCAATAGGCGATATGTACTTGGATTTACTACAAAATGCCGTCGACCCAGCTCTAACAAATATCATTCAGAACGATCCCGCATACAATGAACAGGAACTGATTTTTCAACAAGACGGAGCTCCTCCTCATTATTCCCAAGATGTGCGCAATTATTCACATGACACATTTCCAGGACGATGAATAGGACGACGGGGCCCAATAGAATGGTCACCTCGGTCACCCGACTTAAGCCCTTTAGATTTTTTTTTGTGGGGACACATCAGAAGCCTTGTTTACAAAACACCACCAGACACATTAGAACAGTTGCGACAAAGAATCATTAACGTATGTCGCGAAGTGACACCCCAAATGTTCCAGAATGTACGACAACGGTTTGAAAATAATTTATACCACTGTATGCAGGTTTTCTTTCGCACATTGAAGAATTGCGTACACCTATGCTTGGAAAACTGAAGCGTACTTTCCCAATGAGTAGCTGAACTGGCCTCAGCTACTCATTGGGGAAGTACGCTTCAGTTTTCCAAGCAGAGGTGTACACAATTCTCCAATGTGCGGAAGAAAATAAGAGGAGAGCTGTGGAAAACGAGCAGATCCGTATTATGTCAGACAGTCGAGCGGCACTTAAGGCAATAGAAAGCCAGGAAGTGACATCTCGACTGGTATGGGATTGCAAGAGGGAACTGAGAACTTTGGCAGACCGGAACTGCGTCAAGCTAATCTGGGTGCCAGGTCATCAGGGGATCGCTGGCAATGAGTGGGCTGACGAACTCGCAAGAAGAGGGTCGGACAACGAGCCAGATCCAGGACAGACTCTTGGAGTACCAAAACGAACAGCACGAGGGTCAGTTGAAGACTGGATTCAGGCAGAACATAAGAGCTACTGGGAAAACATTCCAAGAACCAGACATGGGAAACAATAAATTAAGGAACGAAGTCATAAACGAACTGTAGACCTGCTCAACTTGAACAGAGCACAGATAAAAACTGTTACGGGACTCATGACTGGCCATGCGCCAGTAAAGGAGCATCTTGCCAGAATGGGACTGTACAATGGTGACCCAAGCTGCAGACTATGTGGCAAGAAAACAGAAACAGTACCACATATACTGTGCCGATGTGAGGCATTGGACCGCAGAAGACAGAAGATCTTTGGGCAACCAGTTGGTGAACCAGAAATATTCAACTCACATCAAGTGAAGGATTTGTACAGACTTGTTCAAGGTACAGAGATGATGGAGTGGGCACAATAAAGAACATTAGGTAAGATACAATGGGCCACCATAGGCCTAAGTGTCGTCGGAGACATGGTCAGACGAGCCTACAAACGGCGTGGAGTTTTTAGTGGGTAAACCCTGGCTAGAGTCAGGGGAGTCCCACACTACCATATGGGGGATAGGACCCATATGGTGTCCATAAAGGATTCAAACCACCTCGACAAAAAAAATGCAGGTTGACGGACAGCAATTCGAACATTTACTTGACTAATAAATGAGTTCTGAAGTACATTTGAACCGATTTTTGTATTTTTCGTCCCACATGATGGTTGGAGTTTCAACGCTCCATATTTTCTGAAAGAGTAGATCGATTTGAAAAATCGAAGCAGCACTGTATAGGAAATGATAAACCCCTTCTAAATAGGTATCGCTTGACCACCCTTCCCATTTGAAAAGAATGTTGGGGTGACTCCCCTACACAGAGGGTTGAAGGTTTTAACATGCTTGTTACGTCAAATTGTGTCCCTCTGACAAACAAACTTGACCTGTTTTCGGATTTTATCTATTTTAAAAGTTTTTTCCCAGCCTGTAATGCATTGCGGTACGTTTTCGATGAGACACCCTATGTATTCAAATGTGTTAGACGTATGTGTTGTACTTGTGATATATGAAGAAATAAATGACTTTAATGCTTCCTCCGAGCGAAAAGACCGGGTTTCGATCCCTACTCCAGCTTATCTTTTTTTAAATTTTTTTTTCGAAAGTAATTATTCGAAAAAATACTATGGAGGCATTTATAGAGTGATTCGCTATTTCAATAAAGTTTCTTCTCAGGATCGGCCGGAAATTTTCATTTTCTCGCGCCCAGCGAGCAGCGAGCGAGGCGCAATATCACCTCGCTATGGTGCTATGGCTAGACTCTAGTTACACCACCAATATCAGTTTTTTTCCTAATGTTTTCTCTCACCTTTCGCTGGCTATGGAGCTGTTCCTCGACATCGACTTGGGCGACATCTCGAAGTCGCTGTCCGACCGGTAGAGGAAGCTCTCGCGCCGCTGCGGCAGGTTCTGCAGCACGAGGCCGGCCGAAGGGGAGGCGCCCCCACCCCCTCCGCCGTCGAGGGGGCTTCTTCCGGGGCTGATGGCGCCATTCTCGACGTCGAAGCTGCAAGAAAATCATCTTTCGTCAGTGCGGTCTGCGAACGCGAAATAGCATATTACATAACTAGTATGGAAAGGAACATATTTCGCGTAGCGGCGAGTGCGGAAATGTAACGAGTCCATGAAAAACAGTTTCCAACGAGTTATGTACACTATATTTCCTACGATCATGAATATATAGATCACAAACGTTGAGATTTCCTTGCTTATACAGGGTGATCCACGGTGGATGGCCTATTAGAAGTATCTGGAGAACAAAAATACAACACATTCTGAAAATTGAGATGTTTTGATAATTGAACATTCTCTATCCGTCTAAAATATATTCATCGATACAGTGTTGCCACTTCTATCAGAAACAACTAGCAACTTTGTTATTTCAAATGGAACACCCTGTATTTTTTTTTTCGTTTCTAGATCCTTCTTGAAGAGCTGATTTCATCAATGTATCACACTTGGGGTCTAGCAGGAATTATTACAGAGATATATAGGGTGTTCAAAATCGAGATTTTTCAATTTCAGGAATTTTTTGTGTCGAAACTATTCATTATCGATCAAAACGGCTTACATGTCTGTTAGCATCTAGCAACTAGATGCGCCACTGCTCATCAGTGGAATGTGCTTAGATCAGAGCCTATGACAGAGTGGTGAACAAGTGTAACCCTTGTCCATGTCATTTGTGCTCGTGTTTATTATATTATGACCATAATATAACAATGTCCCTATCTCAACTTTTGATTCACTATCTACTGACATTCAATTGGAACATATACAGGGTGATCAAAATTTTGAATCTTGGACCACCCTGTATCTTAGTTCAACCCCTGAGAGGGGTAGATGTTACCCTTAGATCCTCATAAGAAGAGGTGGTCAAGATGCACATTATTTCAAAGGACGTTCATGTCTCTTCGAAAATACCATCGTATTTCATTTTTTGATGGGCACTTTCCGAAAAATGCCGTTCTAAACTTGGTCGAGAGAGCTACCACGGCATCTGGTAACCACGCAACCAGAAATACAGCAATGCTCATGACCTGAGCCACGCCGGTGTAAATCCGAACCACGACAAGCGAATCTTTCAAACCTCAAGGTTATCAAAAGGTTATTCGTGATGAATCAGTACGGCTGCCTTCCAAATGAGTCCACTAAATCTGCGATATATGATTCTTTGAATTATATAATAGATCAACAAAGTGCCTAGCATTTATTTTGACCTAACCAAAGCTTTCGAACTCATTAATCATGAAATACTATTGCAAAAATTAGAGCACTATGGTGTCAGAGGCAAAGCTAATGATTTGATGAAATCTTACCTCAGCAATCGGACACAAATAGTCGGTATCTCAACAGAAAATAACTCCAAGTCTTCGACATACTATTCTGACAGTGTACAAGTTGGTATAGGGGTGCCTCAGGGCTCCATACTCGGACCAATTCTATTCTCAATATTTATTAACGACATATGTTCCCAAATAGACATTAGTTCCGTTTTCTTATTCGCAGACGATATTTCAGTCGTTGTGTCTGAAAGAGACATCGGTGCTTTGAATGAGACATCTAATACAACTGTCTCTCGAGTTGTAGAATGGTGTGAAAATAATTCTTTAGTGATCAATAAGAACAAAACGAATTACGTATTTTTCAAAAATCATAGGAATGATACACTTCACATTGATATATACAATTCTCGAATGAATGCAACAAATTCTGCCAGATTTTTAGGGGTAATGATAGATGAAGATCTACGATGGACGGATCAGGTGAGAACAATAATGAGTAAATTAGCATCTGCTTGTTGTCTTATCAGATATCTCAGGAACCATATCAGTATTCACAACATTAGAATGTTTTATTTTGCTTATGTGCATTCTGTTATTGACTACAGCGTGATTTTTTGGTATCACTCACCAACATCCAAGGATGTATTCATTTATCAAAAAAAAAAATCATGAGAACTATACTTAATTTAAAAAATGACACTTCTTGCAGACAACTATTCATAAATTTAAAAATTATGACTGTTCACTGTTCCTACATATATAACATTGCGATATTTGCTAGAAAATATCAGCAAACGTTCCCTACAATCCTACAAATAATCAACACATCTCTAATATGGAAACAAGATGAAGTAAACTCTTACGTATTCCACTACATAAAACTGGTCTGTTCGAGAAAGGTCCGTACTATAATTGTATAAAAATTTATAATGCACTGCCACCACATCTCAAAGAAATCAATAATATGAATATCTTCAAACGAACTTTGAAAGATTTAAGTGCGAATCCATTTTATTCATTGGACGAATATTTCAATCAATGAACTTTTGTAGTGTAGGTATTATATATACCTTTTGTCTGAATACTTGGTGATAAGTGTGTTGATTATAATTATATTCTGTTAATGTTATATTCTTCTGCTTGTAAAATTCTACCTATATTCATGTGTGTATAAGTATTATGTTATGAATGTACCTATGTATATTTCTGAATCTGACGTTGCTAATGTTTTTGTAAAAAAACCAATGGCAATAAATTTATTATTATTATTATTATTATTATTCGTGTTCATAAGACTTATAAAGTAAGCAATATATGAGGAAGAAAAATGTCTTCTGCATGAAAAAGGAAAGTAATTTCATCCTAACTTGTCCAAAATGAATATTTTTCCTGAAAAGTATATTTTTGAAAAATTGATTGAGTGAAAAAACTTAATAAAAAAATTGCTGCCTGGCAGGGATTGAACCCAAGTCACCAACGTCGAAGTCAAATATACAGACCAATAAGCTATCGCTTTACTCGTAGTAGTCGTAGTTTCTCAATATGAAGGAAGAAATATCATGTGTTGTGGGTGACGTCCCTTGACCTCGATCTTTGGAAGATTCGCTGGTCTAGCTAGACGCTTTCCGAACCACGCCGGTGTAGACAGCAATGACAACAGGGTTGGAATAAGTCATGCGTTTTATAAAAAAGTCTATTCGGACTTTTTTGATTTAATGCATTTGAGAACAAATCAAATTCTATTTACTTGAACATAATACAAGAACATCGAAAAAACTAAGTTTTTATTTCCGTTAAAAATCTCAAAGCGTGACAATAAAATACTTAGAATATGCAATTTTTGCAATATAAACTGAGACTATTGATTGAATGAAAAACGATGTTTATGCAAATTATATTACTTATCACAATCTTCATTATAGAGGCGCTTTTCAGTTATTTTCAATAAAATGCAGCAATATCCATGGCGCGCCTACGGATTGGTGTCACCTTGGAAAGCAATTTTTCGATGCATTGCAAGAAATGAGTTCCGGACATATTTATTTATATTGTGGTGATTTGTATTACTGGTGCAATTCTAGTGGTGACATGTTAGATTTTCGGAATTTCACGCATCATTAGATACACATTGGATCTTACTTTTCTTGCCTTTCTCATGGTTTCTTCTACCCAACTCAAAACTCGGTGAGAAGTAATACACAGAATCTATGACAAAAAGACATTGCAAGCCGGTAATTCAGTGTTGAAAAGCATACATATTACTTTTGCCGGAAATATGAATTGGAGCAATCAATTGCATGAAATGAAATATTGTAAACTGTAAAGCGGCTCTTAGAATTTTTTTTCCGCGTGTGGTGCTTCACGGTTGTCAGTTGTCAGATGCCATCGGATATTTCATCACAACCCAGATAGCACAAATTCCTTTTGAGGCCCTTCTGAGGCGTTCACAATAATGTCCTCAGGACGTCGAGAGCGAGCCAGAGGACATTCTAAAGACGTCCTCCTGTTACCATTCTCTACATACTAATAACGTCTCAGAACATCCCTATAAAATCTTTTGAGACAACCTCAGGACATCATAGTAACAACTTGAGGCGGTTTTTGATGATGTTCCAAGGAGGTTCAAGATTTATGGGAGAATATTATTCGTATACAGAATGAGTCACTATAGTGTGTTCTCCTCTGATATAAGCCAAATCGTCAGATATATAAAATGAAAATTCAAGTACAACAGTAATAGGGTTTCATGAGAACAATCACCTAAAATTGTTTTCGTATCTATAGGGTGTTCGAATTCCAAGATATCCGTTGATGATTGTTGTTTTTTTTATAGAACACCTTGTATATTATTGCATTTTTGAGTTTTCCCTGAAGAGTTGATTCCATCAATGCATCACACTTGGTGTCTAGTGGGAATTATTACAGAGATATAGGGTGTTGACAATCGAGATTCTTCAAATGTAGGATTTTTTGTGTCGAAACTAATCATTAATTGTCAAAACGGCTCACATGTCCCTGTCTTTACTTTTGATTAGCTATCTACTGATGTTTATTTGGAACAGATACAATAAGCTGATCAGTATTCTGAATGTTGAAACACCCTCTATTTGTTCCGATTGAATGTCATTAGATAGTAAATCAAAAGTTCATAAGGAAATGTGAGCCGTTTTGACCAATATTGAATAGTTTCCACAAAAAAAAATCCTAAAATTGAAAAATCTTGTTTTTGAACACCCTATATCTCTGTAATCATTCCCGCTAGACCCCAAGTGTGATACATTGATGAAATCAGCTCTTCAGGAAGAACCTAAAAATGCAATAGTATACAAGGTGACCCATTTGATCAGTCAATATATCTTGGAATTCAAACACCCTATATATACAGATATGAAAACAATTTAATGTGAAAGTTCTCATGAAACCCTATTACTGTTGTACTTGAATTTTCTCTCTTTATCTGATGGTTTGGCTAATATACATGGATAACAGACTATTGACTCACCTTGTATTATGGGAATGATAATTTCTTCAAAATAATATGGATCTTATGATATTTGCAAAATTTCCTCCTATTTATAATAGGTTCAAATGAAAAACCAAATGAAAAACTTATATTCTATTATTTATAACTTATTCTGAAAAATTTCAATTTCTTTTTTGAAGAAATGTATTTCAGCTTCTTGTTGAGCACTACTAGAAGTTATTGCCTAT